TTTTTTTTTTTTTTTTTTTTTTTTTTTTTAAACTCTCCGGATTTGCCTGATCTATGCGGAAGCTTGAAAAATAAGCACTAATTTCTATTGGAAGTAACTGCTTGCAGGCAAGTGCAATAAAACGAATACTTTGGACTGGCTTGGTAGCAGAATAGTGATAACACTGATGTATTTGTGACCTCTTTGGACTAGTTTCATTTATTATATAATGTCACAAGTGCAGTTGCAATCTTTATCTGATGAACTTTTATGTGACAAATATGGTGTGACGATGGAAACTGGCTTTTCCAAAAAAAAAAGTACTATACACAGCATCTGAATTCTGCTGTATGGCAACCATGAACATTTATTACATTGAATGCAAGAAATCTTTAAACACATTCTAATAAAAACTATAATCATTGTAGAAATTTCTTTATACGCATAATTCTTTCTAGAGGGTAAAAAAGAAAAAATATTAAAAATATTAAAATGGATAAAGAGATTAATATAGTTACACCTTTAAAAATGAACATTTCATCATGAACACAATAGATGGGACGCTAATATTAATGACAACTAGTCCACTTTACCCTTTTGAAACTTAAAATAAATAATTGGAAGAATATAGAACAAAGTTTATGTATAATTTTATTTATAATATCATTTATAAATATCTGAATGACCTTTAATATTGAATCTATTTTATACATAAAGAGCAACAGGAACAGAATTTAATATTATTATTAAAAAAATGAATGCTAAAAGTGTTGTTACTGGAGTGATATAAAAACTTATTACACTAAGATTCGACTTTTATAATATGCATTACTTATTAATGCTTAATGTCACTTGTGTCTTATCTCTTACTAAGCAATTTTGTTATAAACATACATTCGATACATAATTCTTGGTTGCACAAACAGAAATTCAAGGTATAAGTGGAGCATTCATTTGCAAATATCAAAATGGGTCAAAGTATTTCACCTCATATTTACAAAAGCATAATTCCAGAAAAGCTTGTAACACACAATAAAAATGATCTAAAAAAAAAAAACAAGTGTAAATACAGCTTCTTTACATTTAAATATATGCGTCTAATTTTTACATACATAAATAAAGTGTAATAACCAACGTGATGAAGCCAATAACTACTAAATAAATAAATCTTGTACATTATACATGAATTTCTGTGATTATATATGGATTAAGATAAAAGTACGTATATTGCTTGTACATCAAAATGAAAATGAAGCACTTGCATTTGAGAGTACGATCAAACCCAATTGCTGTTTCAAAAAAATATAACGCAAAATTAAAAAATTGCTGACTCGACAGGGGAACAAGGATGGAAAACACTATACGTGAGGAAATCGGAATGCAGAGCATCCAGTAACTCCATTACAAAACAGGGGGGAAAAAGAAACTTCTACTGACAGCAACGCATCAATAGGTCAATAGTAGTCAGCTGAGCTATGATAGCGATCGCGTTGCGTGTTAACAATGCGTATGACGTACGCCCTAGCAAGTTCACTCACCTCCGCGATTACGCGAGGGAAAAAATAGGGAGGAATGAAGAAACAAAACAAAAAAAAAGAGGAAGAATGAAAAAGGAAGAAGGAGCACATATCTAATAACGAACGTACAGGTATACGTGGTAGACGATAATATCGGGATACAATGAGATCAGAAAGCGGGATATAATCACAGGGTGAATGCCTACGAAGCACGGAAGTGTCTTGTTACCTGGATATCTCGGGTGCACGCGTTCCATCCATTATTTTCGTTCTCGAAGGACTTCCTTGAATTGAAACTTCAAGCACGAGTAATCATCACAAAACGCGACGGCCATGTTTATGCTCGTCAACTCAGTCTGCATGTAAATAAAACTTAATTGCCGCGCGATATGTATCACTCGTACACTGCATTCCTGCATTAACGGAATCTATGGGGGGTGGTTTACGAAGAACGGGTATTTAGACACGTTAGGTAAATAGAGCCATGCAGACGACGACGCGTTATTGAGAGCACGGAGGATCGTCTGGTCGCACGAAAACAACAAACCTCGACGGTAATCATTGCTAACTGTAGCAAGCTCGGCGATAGGCGAAACGAAAATAACGCGTATGTTAAAAATAACGTGTGAAAGTAGTATTGTTTACGTTCGCGACGCTTTCACAGATAACAGTATCGTTTAAGGCATACACACAGCGGAGGAATTTTTCTTTTGACACGGAAAGATTTATATTACATCTGATCATGCGCGAATACACAATTCTGCGATCAAGCGCTTCGTGACCGGATCCTGACAGGGCCGAGACGTTCGTGAGGTTAGGTTTACTGATCGTCGGCGGCAGTGGCGATATTTCTTCGATTATTATTGAAGAGCAACGCGTTTTGTTTTCGTTCGAGCGAATTCCATTATCAGAACGGTTGTCACGAACTGTTACCCTGCGTTTCCATGGAACTAATGAATTCTTTACCCTAAAGGTGGAGCCACAATGAAGGCGATTGCAGCGCCATCTCTGAAGTGTGTGTGATTGGAACTAAATACGTTTCAAGCGCAGAAGAATGGATTGGCAAGGCTAGTAACAAATCTCGATTAAATCGTGCACGATCGAGTGTTGGAAAAAAGCGGGAGAGAAAGTGAGAGGTTCGCATGTTGTGTTGTTCAACTTCAACGTGGATGTCGAGTGTGATTTCGATTTCAGGAGTAAACATCTGTCTGTAAAATGCGGTAAGTCTTTTGAGACGTTTCTCGTTGCATTATCATCGGTGCACGTACAATCATGACGTTTTCCTTCATTATACATGTAATTCGTTTACCAATTTTGCAACACGCTGCTATTTCGACGATAAAAACTAACTCCGTAATTATCGATTTTGGCAAAATCAATTGGCAATCAATGCAACTACCAGTCGCAATTCGCAAACACATTCTCGCTTGTACGTCACGAACGCTTTGCTCGCGTGTAATTTTGTTTTCGTTTTCGTTGCATTAAGCAATATTGTATATGTATGTACAGCTGTTATAGCGTCATAGTATGGATCCATTGATTTGGCGCGTTCGAATATTTATATTCATATATTTTAAACTCGCTGCCAAACCTTGAGATCGCATGTGGATACAAATGTGGATTAACACGAGAGCAGGAAACATTATTTGTATAAAATTATTTTTGTAATGAAATTGTATCGTTTACATAAGCGATATGACTTTATTTCACGAATAAAATAAATATAAATCTGTATGTGTAACAATTTCTATACGTAACAATTTATTTGCAAAATGTAGATTAAATAATTATTGACTAATACTGTTCTATGTGTTGCTCAATATGTAATATTGTGTATAGTTACATCAGTGATGTATTTGAGAATATTTTCGCAATGTAAGAAATAAATTGTATCTACTGTTTTCTATATATAATATTTATTGTCTAATTATTGCCTGATTAATTATCATTATTAATAATTATTTGTATATTTTAAGTATTATTAGGGATTGAACCGACTTAAAAAAAAAACATTTTTTTATTGAAAAAAATCCTGACTGAAACAATTTTAAAAAATCGTAATAATCTCGAAACAATTATAAATTATGAATGAAAAAGATTTTGAAGTACATCGGTTTTATATCGATTTTATACAGAAATAAATATATTAGTACTATCGCTTCATTTCAGAACAATGTCTCGTTTTCTGAATCGAAAATCGATGTGTTTATGTTTGTACGAGTATCTTATACAAACATAAACAAATGAAAATTAGTTGGGACTTGAAATTTAAGACCAAAGAGCACAACTTTCAGTTGTTTTCATTAGTGACTAATAAATATGTTAAATACATTTAGATTATAATAATTATTATTTTAATTATAATATAATTAAAAACAACAAGCGGCAATTACAGTGTTTTCTCAATTAAAATAATTTTTATTATTTTATATTCATGTGGTGAATTAAATTAAGCACGATTTTGTAATATACAATATGAATGAATATATATGAACACTGATTGCTGTAATATTGTACTTTAAAATATATGTAATTCAAGGTGATGCAACTTATAATTTATGAATTGGTAACAAACTAGATTTCATTTAGACATTTTATTGGCCATAATAATAGAAGAATATAATTATGAAGCTTCCAAAATGATTTTATGTATAAGATATGCAAAACGATTTATTTTTTTTTAATATTAAATAAAATTGTTAATTATTGATTAGAAGATATTGTTGAAGTATATTTTATGAATATTATATGATTATATTATAATATTATATGAAGTATTTTATGATAATTATCAATTTTTATTTACAGATATGGACTCGTTTTTGGAATTGTTTAATTCAGATAACAAAGCTACCAGGAGAGATACTTGGAATGATTCAGAAAATGAAGGTAATCGAATGTCAGACTATGAAAACTCAAGTGTCGATGACGATCAAGAAGAAAGGCTACCACCAGAACCTGAACAGGGTAACATTGAATACAAATTAAAGTTAATAAATCCGTCTAGTCAAAGATTTGAACACCTTGTAACACAAATGAAATGGCGTCTCAGAGAAGGCCATGGAGAAGCTATTTATCAAATTGGTACGAAATTATAATTAATCATATAATCATATAATTATCTTCAATGATTACATTATTTATTAAATCACTGTTGAATTATTAGGTGTGGAAGATAATGGGAAATTAACAGGCTTAACAAGAGAAGATATGAAAGCATCATTGAAAACTTTAAATGACATGGCTGCTAGATTAGGCGCTACGACAAGTGTACTACGTGAACGATACGCTAATTCTAAAAACAAAGATATGCCCGCATGTCACAATAGAGAGGAAAGACAGATAGCAGAAGTTTTAGTGAAAAAATTAAGGAAAGGTGATAGAGAGGATCAGGACATTGTTGACTTGAGACTTGCAGTCACTGGTGCACAGGATGCTGGAAAATCAACTCTCTTAGGTGAGAGGATTAGCAGAGGACATTTAAGGTAGAGAAATATACTTAGAATTTACTCTGCTAAATTTGTTGTTTGTCTAGTTTATAAAATTTCAATTGAAATGTAAATTTTAATGTATCTGAAATATATGTAGGAGTATTAACCCAGGGCGAACTAGATAATGGTAGGGGGAGAGCAAGGTTGAATATGTTACGACACCTTCATGAGATAAAAACAGGTCGTACATCTTCGATATCGCACGAAATTATAGGCTTTGATAACGAAGGACATGTTCTAAATTATGCGGAAATGGCAACCGCAGAAGAAATATGTGAACACGCATCGAAAGTTGTTACGTTTATAGATTTAGCCGGCCATCGTAAATATTTAAGGACTACGGTACTCGGTCTCACAGGTACAGTAACTCGATTTACTTTAATAAATCGTGAAGTTTACTTACTAAAACGATTTGTAACTGTACTTCTCAGGATATTCACCTCATCACGTAATGTTAGTCGTAGCACCACCTATGAATGAAGCATCGCAGGAACATATGGCATTATGTCTTACATTAGGACTTCCATTTTTTATAGTTGTAAACAAAATTGATCTCGGCTTCTATAGTATACCTGAAACAATAAATCAGTTAGAAAACGCTATTAAAGCACAGGGATATTCTAAACAATTAATAATGTGTAATAAAAGTCAAATGTCATGGGATTATGAGTCAGATATAATACCAGTTTTCAATGTGAGTTGCGTTACTGGAGAAGGTTTAGAAGATTTAACAAATTTCATCAAGAATTTATCACCATATGATATAAACTCTGCAGATTCAGATTCTGAGTCATGTTTGTTTCAAATTGATGAAACTTTCAGGTATATACTCTTCCCTAAAAATATAATTGAAAAATCATATTTAGTAACCATATAAAGCCAAGATCTTTTTTTATCTCATATAGAGTAGCAGGGTTGAATGAACCTGTTTTAGGAGGATTGCTTGTAAAAGGAGCAATTGTTCCTGGAACTCGATTATTGGTAGGTCCTTTACCAGATGGCGAATTCAGTCCTGTTAAAGTTGTTAGTTTACATCGAAACAAGGCTCCATGTTGTTTAGTAAGAGCATCGCAGAGTGCTAGTCTAACATTAGCACCACCAACAAATCGAAGTCCTCCTTTGCCTCATCTACGACCTGGAATGGTTTTAATATCGTTATGGGACCAACCTCATGCGACACTTTTTTTCCAAGTATGTTTAACATGATGATATTCAATATAAAATATATAATAAATATATATAGAATTTAAATAAGTTACTAATAAATATTTTATAGGCTACTGTATTAATAGTGTATCACGCAACAGCAATATATTCTGGTTTTCAAACAACCGTACATGTAGGGAATGTAAGACAAACATGTATCATCAAAGGAATAATGGATGCAAAAGATAGAGGTTTGCAAACAAATGATACGGCATCTGTGTTGTTTAGATTTGTTAATCATCCAGAATATTTACACGTCGGTATGCGATTACTATTGCGAGAAGGTCGTACTAAAGGAATTGGTAAAATAACACAGATATTTCCACTATTAGATCAACAGAACAGTATGCAATAAATTAAATAAAAGTATTACAATATATAATATCTTCATGAAGATGATGAAATTTAGTTACTTAAATATTAGATATAATTACGTCACGCACCTAGTATTTTAAAAATGCCTATAACATTTGTTATAAAATATGTGAGGTCTCGTATAATTTAGTTTTCTTTCCTTTCTATTCTTAAAATGAAAAAGTTTTTTTTTTATCTGAAAAAGAAATAAAGATCAGTTGATTTTTAGAATTTCTTTTTTTGTGTTAAAAAAATATATTATTTAAAATTTAATGACAAACGAAGCAATACGGAGTAATATCAAATGTAAATTATTTGTTAAGAATGCTTTAGATACGTGAACAAAAGTAAATTTTCTTATAAGAGAGAGTGAGAGAAAGAAAAATCATAAAATTTCATTGACCTTAAATTATAGTATTTTATGAAGTTTCTGATAATTATGTTTTTTTTTCATGTTACGAAATAAAAAATCCTTTTAACTATTTAATGTCATCCTTTTGTATGTGATGCTACAGTTCAAAAATTCATTGTGAGAACAATCATTATAATAATGCAATGTTTCTCTATCTTGACTACGTATCTATTTATTCTGCTACTATTTAAAAAACAAAAGATAATATTTAACTAATGCAGAATAGATATCTTCGTAATCGATTATTGTCATGATGAGTATCGAGTGTACTAGGATTTAAAAAAAAAATTATATTATGTTATATTACATGTATACAAAGTTTTGTGTGTCAAAGAATGTTACTTAAGACGGTTGTATTTATATATGTGTCGAAATGATTTTTGCAAGATTGCATTAGGCAATATATCTTATGAAACACATGTTAAAACATTGTGTTATGCAAATTATTATGCAGCCGTCCGAGGAATAAATATTTTGTTTTATGTTAAATGTCAAATGTAACACATTGTATTATAAACTGTAAAATATTTTGAATAAAACAGAAAAATTTACACATCTATCTAAGCGAATTTAAAATAGTGAAACTATATCTTTACATTATCTAAAAATAAGTAGATCAGAGAAAGTAATAGCTGACATGTATTATATATAAAAAAGGAAACATTTATTTATTGCGATTATAATTTTTCAATAATTTAATCCTACGCTATCAGTATACAACTTAATGTAATGTCAAATCACACTTGGAAATAAAATAAAATAATATTAAATTCTAGGAAAATACTGTTCCATTAGAAAATACAGATTTAGCATCTATAATATATGTAATATACGTGTCGATTATTTTCATAATTACACGTACAGTAACAACCTACAAAGGCGGATTCAGCGACAGAATCGTATAAATAAATAGCATGTGACTATCAACTTGTCAGATGGAAAGGAAAAAGTGCGTCTTTCGGCTTCAGTTTGTTTCATTTATCGATCCATCAAACTCATTCAAGAATGGTAATTACCCGCATGATTCAGCAGTATTCATCAAAGAAACGCGAGCAGCACGATCATTATTACAAGGATAAGCTATGATAAATAATATAAATTTGAAGGAAGAAAGAAGCTAGTGTAATTGTTCAATGTAATCACTTGTCTTCGTCACAAATCTGAAGTGAAACTTGTGTGTCGCAGATTACGTGAGCGGGTAGTTTGGAGTTGGGACGTTTAACGTGCCCCAGAAGAGCACGAGTCCCGATGGATCATGTCTGATAAAGAAGATGAAGGGTCGTCTGGCTATAAATTTCTTCTGACTTCCATCACGCTCCAATACAACGGAAGTAACAGCTGCGGCCTCGGTACCCTTTTCCGTGATATCGATTTCTACTTTCTGGAGGACGTCTGCAGCGAAGAGATGCGGATTCACCAGATTGCCACTATTTCTAAGATTATCCAGCCCGTACGACGGAAGATTCTGTTGTCTCATGAAGTTTAAGAAATTCTGATCTATTGGCCTACTCTGCCTTTTGCTTCTTGCTTGGAAACGATACTTGTTTTCTTCAAGATTTACAATTTTCGTGTTGTCGCGATTTTCCTCAGACTTGTCATCTGTCGCGTACGAATTTCTATTCTCTTTACTCTTGGCGTAATGAGTATCACGAATCTTTCTAAGGTAGAATCCATTCGTCCATTGATGCACGGCGTAATTACGAGCCATGTCCTCGTACGTGAAGTAATTTCGTTTAACCATATGGTCTTCGTCTCCACCGACACGAGAAGGGAAATATATTTTGTCCTGTCGATTTCGCGTGACCATTTTGTCGTCACCATTTGCAACAAACCGTGGAATACTCGTCGATCTTGTCGATGATCCTGATGATGCCATGTTCATGGGATTTGTGTTATCTATATTGTTTATGTTATTTGGTTGAGATATGAGACTCAAGTCTGCTGTTGCTGGATCGAACAAAGACTGGAGACCCAGCGCAGCGAGCGTACTTTTTAAACTGAGACTGCTGCTTAACTTCATTCGTGGGAAGCCGATGATACAAGTTTCGTTCCTCGTATTCCTAATCAAATTCTCGATTACGTCGACTGTTAGCCTGTTTCCGAATTCCCGAAGTGCTTTCGCGCCCTCCTCTGTTGGAAGTAGAGCGTACATTGACATCTGAAAGCGGACAAACAATTGGAACAATTTGAAAGCCTGCATTCAATGTGAAATTTGTGAAAACACTCACCTCCTGACCCTTGTATGGCAGACCAAGAATCTTCACGCCCAATTGCTTGTCTTCGTAAAACGGAAATGTCCCTCCATTGTACATCATATCGACGTTGATTGCTTTGTTTGGTTCAATGAAGAATTGTCTCCTGAATAAAAACAATCGAGTTAATTGTGCAACGCGCTGCAGTTGCAACTTAGATTTTCTCAAACTTTATAATATTTTTTTTATAAAAAAAAAAAAAGTGGTACCTTTTCGTAGCTCCGTCTATAAAATATTGGTTCCATTCTCCTTTAAAGTAAAGCGCTGATAAAAGAATCAACGTGGTCTCTGGCCCCGGCGGATGACCAAGGATATTTGAAATTTTCCCTATCGTCTTCTGCTCCACCCATATGTTTATCATATCCTGTGTTGCTTTTCCATTTCGAGCAAAATCTACGTTAAACACCTCGGTCTGATAAGTTCCTTTACTGAGAGCCTTGAAT